GCAGTGCTGATAATTATACTAAGCTTGCAGGAGAGCTGATCACCTAGCTATAGGAAGCTGATCACTTACTAAGATTGCAGGTTATTGCTGATCACTATACTAAGATGCAGGTTATTGCTGATCACTATACTAAGCTTGCAGAGAGAAAGCTGATAACTATAGTAAACTTGCAGGAGAGAGCTGATAATTATACGAAGCTTTCAGGATAGAACTGATAACTGAACCTAGCCAGTAGGAGAGGGCTGATCACTATATTAAACTTGCAGGTTATTGCTCATCACTATACTAAGCTTGTAGGTTATTGCTCATCACTATACTAAGCTTGCAGGTTATTGCTCATCACTATACTAAGCTTGTAGGTTATTGCTCATCATACACTATACTATACTAAGCTTGCAGGTTATTGCTGATCACTATACTAAGCTTGCAGGAGAGAGCTGATAACTATAAAAGCTTGCAGAAGAGTGCTGATAATTATACTAAGCTTGCAGGATAGAACTGATAACTGAACCTAGCTAGTAGGAGAGGGCTGATCACTAAACTAAGCTTGTAGGTTGTTGCTCATCACTATACTAAGCTGGCAGGAGAGAGCTGATAACTATACTAAGCTAGTAGGAGAGGGCTGATCATTATACTAAGCTAGTAGGAGAGAGCTGATAACTATACTAAGCTTGCGGGAGAGAGCTGATAACTATACAAAGCTAGTAGGAGAGGGCTGATCACTATAGTAACAGTTTATGCTGATTACCATACTAAGCTTGCAGTTTAATGCTGATTACCATACTAAGCTTGCAGTTTATTGCTGATTGCCATACTAAGCTTGCAGGTTATTGCTGATTACCATACTTAGCTTGCAGAAAAGTAATATTAACAATTCTAAGCCTACAGAAGAGAGCTTGTGGGAGAGTGCTAATAACAATACTAAGATTGCAGGAGAATAATACTCACTATTTTAATCTTGCAGGAGAGTGCTGATAACTAGACTGGAGGGAAGTTTGTGATATATACCAAGCTTGCAGGAGAGTGCTGATAACTAGACTGGAGGGAGGTTTGTGGTGGTAAATATACTAAGCTTGCTTGCAGGAGAGTGCTGATAACAATACTAAGATTGCAGGAGAATAAGGTTTTGTTTTACTCTTGCAGGAGAGTGCTGATAACTTGCAGGAGAGGCTGGAGGTAGGTTTGCAATCAATATACTAAGCTTGCAGGAAAGTGCTGATAACAATAATGAGCCAGCAGAGGATTGCTGATAACTATACAAATCTTGCAGGATACTAATGTCAAGTAAACTGATTGCAGGTGAGTGATGCTTTCTACACTAAGGTAGTAGAAGTGTGCAGACAGCCATACTGAGACAATCATACTGAGCTCCCGGAGAGTGCCACTAACTATCCAGAAACGCGTAGATAATTATACGAAGCTTGCAGCAGAGAATGCGGGTAATGATCCTAAGCATGCAAAGGGAGTGCTAGTTACTATATAAATTTGGGTAGCCATGCTGCTAAGTATAATACACATACATGGGAATTCTCAGAACTATACCGCACCTGAAGGAAAAGTCACTATACTAAGCTTGCAGGCAGATGCTTTGAGATGACTGTAAGTAGAGAGCGCAGTATATTGGACGCTGTAGTGGATTGGCTCTTGGTCATACATGTTTTCCCCCTGATAGCATCATATCTTTCCCCAGTTTTGCACAGGAGAAAACACTTTTTTTTTTGTATTTGTTCTGCTAATTTAATGACCCAGCTAAAGCTAACATGGTTGCCATGGAGGTAGCCTTCCCTGCTATCAACAGGACAAACATGATGCGTTGTCATGGAGACGCCTGTCACGGGAGCCTCCTTAGAATTAGGCACCACAATTAACGGCGCGGATGCTGCACACAGCTGGCACACACAGTGTTAGGGACCGTCAGACAAGAAGAAATCGGATGAATCTTAAGGCATAAAGAAACATGCCATCAGCCAGCGGTGAGGCAATTTATTTCCTTGTGGAAAGGTCAAGTTTATTTTTTGTGGCAACGGCAAAGCTTTTTCCTGTTTTTATTCGCATGGCATTTCTCGATCAAAGCCGAGTATCTCACATTTCCACGAGGCATATTGCTAATTAATGTAATCTGTTCTGCTAAAGCTGACCTGAGCTGGCACTATGAGCAGCAAACTAAAATTCACAGGGGCCCCGGAGCAGACTGTAACTTAAGGGCCCTCAGGGCTCACACAGAAATCTTTGGCTGTCCTATCAACCCTGAAGATACTAATGACCTTTTCAATCTATATAAGTCTGCTAGAGGCATCTAAGAGAATGAAAATTAAAGTGTTAATAAACCCACAACAATAAAATCAGCCTGTATATGCAGTAAAGCATGCTTGATATACTCACTGTGGAACCTAAGGGGTTAATCCTCTGCATTGTGTAAAAAGGCTGTTTGATCCTGTCTTCTCTGATCCTCCCCTTCTTCCAGTGCCCCCCTCTTATCTCCTGATAAGACATATCGTGTGGGGACACTCTGCACATGCTCAGTTTGGTGTGTATTGTTAGAGGTTTTTTTTTTTTCTTGGGAGAGTGCATGTGATCAGCACAAGGCCAATCAGTGAATGTAGGATCCGGGGAGACCAGATATAGTGAATGCAGGGTCCGGGGAGACCAGATATAGTGAGAGCAGGGTCCGGGGAGACCGGATATAGTGAACGCAGGGTCCGGGGAGACCAGATATAATGAATGCAGGGTCCAGGGAGACCGGATATAGTGAGTGCAGGGTTTGGGGAGACCAGATATAGTGAATGCAGGGTCCGGGGAGACCAGATATAGTGAATGCAAGGTCCGGGGAGACCAGATATAGTGAATGCAGGGTCCTGGGAGACCAGATATAATGAATGCGGGGTCCGGGAGACCAGATATAGTGAATGCAGGGTCCTGGGAGACCGGATATAATGAATGCAGGGTCCGGGAGACCAGATATAGTGAATGCAGGGTCCTGGGAGACCGGATATAATGAATGCAGGGTCCTGGGAGACCGGATATAATGAATGCAGGGTCCTGGGAGACCAGATATAGTGAATGCAGGGTCCGGGGACACTGGATATAATGAATGCAGGGTCTGGGAGACCGGATATAATGAATGCAGGGTCCTGGGAGACCAGATATAGTGAATGCAGGGTCCGGGGAGACCAGATATAGTGAATGCAGGGTCCGGGGAGACCAGATATAGTGAATGCAAGGTCCGGGGAGACCAGATATAGTGAATGCAGGGTCCTGGGAGACCAGATATAGTGAATGCAGGGTCCTGGGAGACCGGATATACTGAATGCAGGGTCCGTGGAGACCAGATATAGTGAATGCAGGGTCCTGGGAGACCGGATATAATGAATGCAGGGTCCGGGGAGACCGGATATAATGAATGCAGGGTCCGGGGAGACCAGATATAGTGAATGCAGGGTCCGGGGACACTGGATATAATGAATGCAGGGTCCGGGGAGACCGGATATAATGAATGCAGGGTCCGGGGAGACCGGATATAGTGAGTGCAGGGTCCGGGGTTTAGTAACACTTTAAGGTTGCCAGAACATGACTCAATATACTGTACATTGTTTTTATATATTTTCTGTTTTTGATTCATTTCGTTACCTGAAAAGTTAATTACATCAGTGATACAATTTGTTGGCTTGCTGTAAAGGACAGGGGGGGTTTAGTTTCCCGTTAAATGCTGACCATTGTAAGCCCCCTCCCCCCCGTCAGTGGTAGATGGTTTGTCCCAACCCTTTAACTACCACTTTTTCTGGGTTGAAAAATACCAGATTTACTGGCTGGATCACCAGGTGAAAATAAAGCATACCGTAATCTCTTCAATTTAAAGAGCCCTAAACTCTTATGCATCACTGGGCACTCAAGCAGCATGGAAGCAGAAATCCGTGTGATCTGACTGAGATAATGACATGAGCATGCTAAGACCAGGACTGTGGGAAGGAGGCACAATCATGCTTGGGAGCAGTACAAGGCAACTGTGTGAGTATGTCATAAAATGGGATTTCCTCGCAATTTGGAGAGGTTACTAATCATTTCCTGTTGTGTCTCTGAGAAAGGAAGGGAAGGTAAAATCTCCCCAACATCCGAAGACAGCAAGGAAAATAGTTTGAAAATATTTTAACTGTTCCTTAGTTTATTAAATATTAACTAAAATGTCCTTAGATACAGTTTAAAATAAAGCCAGACTGAAAAAAAGCCATTCTGGGTCTTTAAAGTACATTGCGAGAGGTTTAACAAACTTTACTAAAGCCTCCTACCTGCTTTTCTTCAAGAGATATTATGAAACACTTTACCTACAGGTTGCTAAAATTGTTCAGAAGCAAAGCCAGCTGGGAAGTTCTGCATGGAGGATGAGCTCATCAGGCAGCAGTTCTAAATATATAATACTGCGAGAACTTTCTGAACTTATTAAATTTGTTATATCTCATAAACTAGCCCAGTGTATGTTAGTACACTGTAAATGAGAAGAAACTTTAATTTCTCATTTTCTATACAGTGCGGGTAACACGTACAGATTATTTGTTCATTTTGGCATTTCATTCTGGCAAGAGAGATTATTTGCTTATTCAAGGACCATGTCCACTATTCTTTTTTTTTTGTCTTTTGCTTAACACAGGCAGTCGGCACTGCCACAAATAGCTGTCAAATGTAGCCATCACTATGGATGCTCAAATCTGTTTCAAATTGGGCCAACCACTCCCAAGTTTATATCTTGCCTGGGTGAGTTCCTGATCTGCAGATGTACAAGTGATGTTAAGCTGGCCACACACGTCTCAAATTTTGACCCCCAGGTCAACAAAAGTCAATTTAAAAATGGAAAGAGCCTGGGTGGAAAACTGTTGGTTAGGTAGTGACTCCAGCCAATCAGATGGAGTCACTGTTGAGGTCAGGTAGTCGTTGGTGCTGCAGCTGCCAGAATACAATATTTGGCAGGGCAGATTCCTCCATCCGCACTCTTTAGCATGTATGAGGAACAGGGGCGGACTGACCATTTGGAAACTCGGGCACTGCCCGAGGGCCCGGGTTCAGTAGGGGGCCCCATGAGATGCCCCTGGTACCTTTTTCATAGGTTTTTTTTGAGTTTGGGAAAGGGCACATGATCCCCTATTGTCCGGGGGCCCCATGAGTTGTCAGTGCGCCCCTGATGAGGAAATAGGTTGATTTAGCTCATTCGGCCTGCAGTGCTATGGCTATCCTTAGATTAGAGCTCACATGGCAGAGCTTGTTATTCTGTGTTGCAGCCTCACGAACGTTTCACCTGCAATACTTACTTCTTTTAAAAGCTTGTGTAACTGTCAGTTTAGGAGGCAGCTCAAACTGCCCTTGCATCTGTTATCTTATTAAGAAATAAAATGAATGCTATGCTAGGGTATGTATCCCCATTAAGGGAGATCTCAATGTACAGTCACCAGTCAAGGATCACCAACTCACCTTTAATTTTACAGTGGGGTACCTCCAAAGCCATAAACATAACTAGAGAAAAAACATATGGGGGACCAAGAGAGGCCACCCTGTGAGAGGCTTTAAAAGTGGACCAACCGCAGTGTAACCAAACAATTAGAGATTTATTGAGATCAAAAATATGTTAAAGGATTGGTCAGAGAGAACTAAAATCCTCCAATCACCATTAAAACAAGGCTAGATCACCTTGAATAACAAGCCCGGGCTCAGCTCACCCACACAATCACACTGCCATTCATACACTTGATCCAAATGTATGTGTAGAGTAACACAGGGCATCAGTCTAAGGAACGGGCAGTTAGAGTTGACAAATTGTCACATAGCGGACCAGTCTGATCATCCTGTCCGCTACCACTCTGAGAGTGATAATATTAACCCTTTCCCAGGGCTGACGGCCAGGCCCAAATGGGCCGCCAAATATACCGTGAGGCTGGTACACTAGAGTCCAGGTGTAGATCAATATCCTTTAGTGCTCTGCTTTCATGTGAAGCTTAAATTACATTTAGATAGTCCGTTATATCAACATGACATGATATAGGAGCAGGTACCCCAACCTGCAAAGTATAGGATTAGTCCGCAGTGGATGAACGGGTAGACAGGGCAGGCTTAACAAACATATAGTATAGCTGGATCATTAGAGGGCTGGCCATAAGGTGAATCTATCAATTAACTGTGTCCAGGAAACAGCCAAAGCCCTTATTTCACTCTTGCATCTGCCAGAACATAGCTGTTTTTCATCTCCATTTTGAAATGCTTTATGCTGCATTTGTCAAAACATCCAAGTGCATGTACACACAGCTGGGCTGCTGCTCTTAGGGTTCAATGAACCCCATGTAGCATTACCCTCTTAGGAGTTTCTGAGTTTGGGTCCCCCTATAGTCCTGCACGAGCAGCTTCCAGGAACGACAATCACTATATTCCCTCAGTTAAGATGGCTGTTCTGCCACTTCCGGTCACCGTGCAACGGCTGACATCACATCTCTTGACGCGTTTCGTCACTTCCTGACTTCTTCATAAGGGGTCTTCATAAGTGACGAAACGCATCAAGGGACGTGGTGTAGCTGTGCATTGTAGCCAATCAGCTTCTAACTATAGCTTGTTCTGTTATGCTTTGGCAATAAAACCTGGAAGCTCTATGGTTTGTATGCAGAGCTGCATCGGATTTAGCATACTCCAGTTTTAGTAAATAACCCCCTCTGTGTCTGATAAAATCCAGGTAATGTGCTGACCAATATCACTTAAAAGTGACTGGATGCTATAGAAAAAAACCCATAATTTTCTTGGTGTACTGGTTTTTATGTCAAGATGAATTTTACACAAAAAAAAAAATAGCTATGTTTCACTTCTGAATATTTGCATGCTGTATTGCGTGGCATAAATTATCTTATTCTATTTAAACATGCGTGAAATCTATAATCTCCAAATACAGTGGGTGGCATCACTTCTTAAAGTGGAACTCCAGGCAAACAGCTGAATACACAAAATAAATACATATATATATTTTATAGTTATATTTCCTGCCAAAGGTTTATACTTCTTTCTGTCACATCCTTACATTACCAAAAGGAATTCTAAGATAACGTAAACTTTACCTGTGTATACCTCATAAGGAGAAGATACTTTCAGGGAGATATATAGAAGTGCCATAAGCAATTTTCTACCTAAAATATTCACAGAAAAACTGTAACATAAGAAATGCAGGCATAAGATGAAAAATCTAGCTCCCTTGATGCAATAGGGGCTATCTCTGTTCCTTACTTTGTTAGATGTGCTTTCAGTCAGCATGATCTAGCAATCTATATATTGCATTTAATGGTTTCAGTAAATCCTCTTTTTAATTAAACATATTTTATTGATTTTTAATTCAGACAATTTTTATCCTTTAAGGGAAATTTCAGTTTTAGGGTGCTACCAACTCCTGTTCTGGGGATATTGATCTTAGTAATAGGTGTCCAGTGGACATTTCTACATCAACAGGTGCTTAGTCTCAGTTTAAATGAATTCTGCAGCCTTGACATCCCTCTAAACCAACCCCTCCCAAACTGGGTTACATCAGTGGTGTATTTAGGTGTCGTGCTGCCCTAGGCAACACAAAAATTGGCTCCTTCCCCCACGGAGAGACCCTGACACTGAGCAGCACCCTCCTCCCTCACAAAGAGAGCTTGACATTGACCAACAACCCCCCCCGGACCCCCACCCCCACCCAAGAGAGTTTTACACTACTACCGCCCCCCCATATACTGGCAACTCTCCCCCCGACCCTGCGAGAGAGGAGACACTCACCTTCAGAGCTCCGGACATCACCAGGAACAAGAGTCAGGCTCTGCATACACCATGAAGCAGCCCCTCTCAGATCCCAACTGGTCCCCATGCTGCGTGCGTCCCTGCTTCCATCTCTTTCTTCGGGGGGGGGGGGGCGGTGCTGCCCCCCTGAAAAATGCCACTGTCCCCCCTGAAAAATTCCGGCCTAGGCAAATGCCTTGTTTGCCTTGTGGTAAATACACCCCTGGGTTCCATGAAATCCTGGGGTTCCTTCAAAGTTTACTAGAGGTTTTTAGAGGATCAAACAATGGTGGACTGGTCTCCTGTTTAATTGGATCTGCACACTTCCTTCATCAATGTCTTCCATACCCAAAAAGACTGAGTGCTGTAATAAAATCAAAAAGTGCTTCAACAAAGTATTAGTTTAAGGGTGTGCACACTTATGCAACCATATTATTTTATTTTTTTATTTTTACTTTCCTTCGCCTAAAATATTTCAGGTTTTTTTCAATTGAGTTGTACAGTTTATAGGTTACATTAAAGGTGGAAAAAGTTCTGAAATGATTTATCTTTGTCTCATTTTTTTACATCACAGAAACCTGACATTTTAACAGGGGCGTGTAGACTTTTTATATCCAATGTATACCACAAATTAAGGGAATATTACCTTAATGACATAAATATGAATGATGCAGTACAGTTTTCACTGTCTGAGTTTCTTATCTTAATTGTTCATTTCAGGTTCATTACTAAAAATATTTTTCTTGTTTAGGGCGATAGCGTGTTAAAGAAAAATATCCACTCTGGGTGTCAAATACACTATATAAGTTGCAATATACCTGATTAGTAATCATACTAATGTAATTTTAACTGGGGTTCCCAAAGACCTGAAAATTATGTAAAGGGTCCCTCTGTAATAGGCTGCTCTAGACAGTAGCATTTTGTGCAAACATCTCTTTGGAATTTAAACAAAATGTTTGAATAAACATAGCAGCTACGAAAACTGGAGCACACAGAATCTGGTGCATCTGTGCATAATACCCAATCAGCTTCCAGGTTATATTGTTAAAACTTAATTGAACAAGCTGAAGTTAGAAGCTGAATGGCTGCAATGCAAAATTGCACCAGTTTCTGTGTGTTCTAGTTTTAGTAAATCTTCCCTATAGTCTCCCAAAGTGGAAAAAAGCTATTTCCGTAGAAAGTCTTCCTTCAGTAGAAACTTATTCAGTCATGTATTCACTTTAAAAGGGACACTGGGGAGCTATATCTCATGTAACAATCATTTATAGAGGAAGATGATTCAGGGAAACACCACAAATTGTAGCTGGCTACTCTGGACCAAGGAAGATATTAAACTGCTATTTGACAGCTGTTGGAAACGTTATTTGGTTGCAAATTAAATGAGAATTTAAAGGATAATTTATGGTCATTTTAGAACTTAGCATTGTAATAGCAATACAAACAATAGTTGTGTTTGACTTACTTGATAAATCTCCATTCTTGTTGAGAGTGCTGCCTGTCTGCTGGCCCCTTTCCTCAACTTTCTGGATTCCCTGCACGCTTTGCAGCCTCTGCTCTGCTGTTTACTTTTAATTTCCTCTGACTGTATATCTCATGGTACCTTGAATTCAAGAAAGTAAATGTGTGGGGATCTTCACAAAGTAAGTTACAAACTTCAAGAGCATTCAAATTAACCACTAGTGGGTTGCCCCATGTAGAAAAACTGCAGCAGGGTGGCCTCTCTGGATCACGTATACAAACATGACCCAGCATTTGTGGGTAGGGAGCGCGCGTGCCCGCCACCTCATCTGTGCTGTCATTCAGTACAACACAAGTTGGTCTGCAGGTTCCAGCCAATGATTTATGGCTGGGACCTGCTGATCTGCTTGGCAAATTAGAGTACAGGGCCCTGTGTTTATTAAAAGCGATGCGGCTGTTTTATTCTCCCTCCAAAACAGGAAGATAAAACAGACATCTCAGTAAAAGCAGCACACATTACACTTGTTATGCACAGTTAACTCTTTGATTGCCCCCGATGCTAACCCCTTCCCAGCCAATGTCATTGTACAGTGACAGTGTACAGTATTATCACTGATCATTGTATTAGTGTCAATTAGTCAGTTCCCACCTGGTGTCAGTTAGTGTCAGATTGTCCGCCACACTATCACAGCCCCACTATAAGTTGCTGATCACCACCATTACTAGTATAAAAGTAAATAAATACAAATTCCGATATATAGCAGTGTTTCTCAACCTTTTTTCAGTCAAAGCACCCTTTAAAACTTCGCACAATCTTGAGGCATCCATTATAAAATGTAAAAAAAAAGAAACAAATAGTTTTACAGA